CACCAAGCCGTTGACGAGTCTGATAATTGCGGCAGCATAGCTGTGACGCAGAGATAGATAGGAAGTTGCTGGCTGCGAGTCTTGCACGAGGACAGAGAGCAGAGCCAGAGTCGCGTCGAGTGCGTGAGGCAGAGCAGTGATGCTTCGCCAAGCGGACAGCTGCAAGAAATGAGCAGCGAACCAACCAACCCGACGAGACCAACTCGGTTTATTGCTTTTGTTTTTGCATTTATGTCTGCCTCGTCCGTGTATATCCAGGCACACAGCTCGTCAAGCTCCGCAATGGAGGCCCAAGGGACTCTGCGCGGTAACCGCATATTTACGGGAAAACGCGTCACGCTGACACGTCCAAAATAATTTGCGAGTCAAGAGGTGACGCGTCTCGCTTGTTCTTCTTGCCACCATGGTATACGTGCATTCTTTCGTCAAACCTCTTATTAACCCGCCCCAGCTTCTCCGTGTCAGATCCCCCGATGGAAACTTTCGTTTCGAGTTTCTGCCCACTGCCGACATTTCAGAATTGTTGGCCAAGGTGCGTACGTCCTTGCAACGGGCAGCCTCGTAACTCGACAAATGCACAGGTCGCAGAAACAGCACCAGATGCAGACCCGGCTACTTTCACAATATCCAACCAACCGCGGGGAAACGAAGCTCTCTTTTCCACTTTGACGGGGCGATCGCTGCAGGCATTAGGTCTCAAGTGAGTTTTTTCTCGGTGGCACACTGAAAACGCGTCCAACCAGACTCAGTCATGCCGATTTGGTCTTTGTGGGGTACAAACCCAAGCCGGCCACCGCGTCTAGCTCATCGTCCACACAACCTACCAACTCTGCCGCCGTGCCGGAATCGACCACGCGACTCTGGGAGACGGTAACGGAGGAGCCCATCGACGTATATTGGCGAGCCCGCGACGGCAAGATTCCCCGAAGCCGCGATTCACGCTTTTGCACACACGCAGCAAAAGGAATGTGCGACTACTGCATGCCTCTCGAACCCTACGATTCTGGCTATCACAAGGAGCACGCCATCAAGCACTTGTCCTATCACACCTACTTGAGGAAAATATCTTCGTCTACCACGTCGAATCTGCCCCCGCTCGAGCCGCTCTCGTACAAGGTCAAAATCCCGTGCCCTAGCGGACATCCTTCATGGCCAGCCGGCATCTGCACGGCATGCCAACCCTCTGCGATAACTCTACAATCGCAGCCGTTTCGCATGGTCGATCATGTCGAAATCGCTTCTCATGAAACAGTTGAGCGCTTCCTGCGCGCCTGGAGGGAAACAGGCTGTCAACGGTTTGGATGGCTCATTGGACACTATGAACCGTACGACGTCGTTCCGATGGGGATCAAGGCCATTGTCGAGGCAATCTACGAGCCTCCGCAAGAAGGAGAGCTTGATGGGCTGACGCTGGGTCTACCATGGGAGGAGGAGCAACGAATCAAAACTCTGTGCTCATCCGCGTCGACGCCGTTGACCGTGGTGGGCTACATCTTCACCGATCTTACTCCCTCGGAAGACGACAACCTAAAGACAGTGTATAAACGCCATCCAAACTCTTTCTACATGTCTTCCCTGGAGGCCATTTTTGCTGCCACGATGCAAAAGGCTAACGCGACCCCTTCAAAGTCTTCGCCCACGGGTCAATTTGGCTCGCGGCTCGTCACGATGATAGTAACGGCCAATAAGGACGGCGACACCGACCTCGCGGCGTATCAGGTCTCTGAGCAAGCGTGTGCGATGGTGGACGCCGACATGATTGAAGCGAGTGTCGATCCTGGAATTGTGCGAGTGAAAGAGGAAGATCGGACGCAGGAGTCAGCGAGATATGTCCCCGACGTGTTCTTTTCGTACAAGAACGAATATGGCCTCGAGGTCAAGAAGACTGCCAAGCCCGCATTCCCGGTCGAGTATCTTATGGTTAACGTGAGCATTTCTTTTGTCTCAATCCGTCGGCCACATTCACAAGTCCTCAGGTAACCCACGGTTTCCCGTCCAATCCCTCACCCATGTTCAACTCGACGCGATACGCGATCGAAAACCGACCTGGCCTCGAGAACCAGACCATCGAGGGAGTGATGAGCCACCTCGCGAACCTTGACGCGCCAAATATCGAGGATAGTCGATTAGCCAAGCCGGGAGAGGCGCACAAGCGGCGTGAACTAGCAACCTGGCTCAGCGACTGGCATCTCGTTGCGTTCCTTGACACCACACAGCTGTTTTCTCCCGTGAGTTTTTTTTTGAGGTGGTACATGGTCAGCTAATATGCCTCTTGCTAGGATGAAGTCAAGCTCATGATGCGAATCGTATCCTCGCCTACGGTGTTGCAAGATCTCAGCCAACTGGACCCGCTTCTCGCTACTGACGGGTGGAAGAACTTGATGGCGTTCACGCGAGACAGTGCAGCAACGGGCGCCGCCAATTCTGCTGCAATGGACGAGGACATTCCGCAGGAGGTCCTTGACCAGATTGCTGCGCAAGAAGCTGCCGACCGTGCCGCTAGTGGGAGCGGCGGCGGCGATGGAGGGAATAGTGGCAGCAGCCCGATCCGCATTTGTCCCCACTGCACATTCGAGAACAGTCACAGAGGGACGGACTGTGAAGTTTGCGGACTACCGTTGTAGTTGTATAGAAGTCAAGTACCATGTCGATAATGCTTCAGAATGGTACAAAGTGTTACATCTAGTCCACGATTAAAACGTGAATAAGGTCGTGTGTCGTATCGTGTCGCAAGATTGTCTGTCCTACTGGAAAACCCACCAAGCAGCAAAGCCCAAACCAAAGATGATACCAAGTGCGCGAGCGACAATGACAAGAACAAGGGCTTTGCGAATCGCAGCGTAGAATGTGCTCAGCGCAGAACCAGACCAGTTTATCCTGTGAGAAGGTGAGTGTGACCTGAGCAACGCAGTCAAGAAGAAAATCGCACCGTCTGTCGTTTACCCCTCCGCCTCGCACACTGGCTTCCCAACCTCGTACAACCTCACGATACCGCTTGCCAAATACCCTAATATCCCGTGAGCTACGACCAAACATCGAGCAACGCACATACCAAATCCAAAAGTTCACGTCTGGATAGGAGAAACGCGGGAAAACACTCGCAAGACTGGGTGCCACAATATCCATGCGAATACCTTCCGCGCCGGTCTGATAAGGGAGTTGCATGAGGGCCGAAAGTGGGGAAGACGGTCCGGAATGACTTTCGACGGTGTCGCGCGGTAATGGATGCACCATGTACGACATGAGGTCGAGAGTCATGCCCAATGACAGACCCCACAGCTTCAACTGTTGTGGCCGCTTGAATCCCTTCTCCATGTCATAGCTGGGCTTGCCGTCGGGTGTGACTGGCGAGACGAACGAGGGTTCTACGATGATAGCAGGAAACTCCATGCTACCAACGAGGGCCTGAACGACGAGACGTAGCGCGGTGGAATGCTTGGGAGCAATGCGAGAAGCGGCATCGACGGTAACCGTGGACCATCTCGGAGGAGGATGCGCGGAAACGAGAGACGCGAGTGGTGTCCAGTGGAGGGTCGTCGCGGCAGTGGGGTCGGGAGCACTAGCGTGTGGTGTTACCTGGAGGAAGACGAAGGGCGAGAGAATCATCAAGAGTCTTTTCCCCAGTGACGTCGTTATTTCTCTGTCGTCGAGTTGGCCGACGCAAGTGTAGTCCTTCTCGGCGAGGTCGATGCCAATTTCTTCCCAAGTTTGTCGCATGGCTGCATGTGGAGTTGTTAATAGATTGCATGACAAGGTTAGTGACGCACCAGTGTACAAGCCTCCCTCGTCGTCGGCTTCAGTCCTGCCGCCGGGGAAGGCAACATGAGCTTCGTTGTTATTGCGGACGCGACTCATGCCAGAGTCTTCGGGTGCAGGATTTTCACGCTGGAGGAAGAGAATTTCGGGACGTGCTGCGGGGTCATTGACCCAGGCAAGGTCGAAAAAATCCGAGAGCGAAGGGGATGATTGCTCGACGGCGAAGACTGCATGTGGTGGGGGGACTACGCGGATAATGAGGGCAACAGCAGCTCTGCGGGGCTCTGAACGGGGCAATTAGAAGGACATTAAAGGATAGCGGCGAGGAACGCACGAGTTGGGGGTGACGCGATTATACGTGGAGGTGTACTGCGTATTCTCTGCAGGGCCCTCGAAAGCAAAGGAACAATGGACTGTGGTTTTTCTGAGGGTATTAGTGTGGATTGCCGCGAAAGCGTACCCTTACCCGACATGGATCAAGACAAGTCGTGAAATCCCCAAAACGGAATCGGTGGGGACGGCAAAACACATGACTTCGGCATTTGTTTCCTCGACGTTGACGTGCCTCGCAGTGCAGCAACTTTGAGCTGGGCCGCTGGCTAATTATCGAAAAACCTCAAGTTATCGGTACCAAGTCAAGAACTATCAATATGTAGATCGTTAGCTACTTCCCGGACCGCAGCCGGTAGAGTCCCAATGAACAGCCGATTGATGCGCTCGCAAAACCCACCCCGGATTTTTGCACATATAGCTGTCAAGTGACCTCCATGGAGCCCTCAGTTCAATTTTCATATTATTTGGGCAACCAGGAGGGTGTCCTCCCCTCAGTGCAATATTCTTTGGTGTGAGTGATGGGAATGTCACAAGCAATCTTGCGACGCGATTTCGGCTAGATGTGCTGGAAAAGACTGGAGGAATGTTAAGTGGGGTCTATTCTAACTTGTGGCTTGCCAGAATCTTCTGTAGCACATGTACGCATCACCAGCTCTTCAGTGGATGTTTTACTGCATATGAACTACTGCTTCGGAGCCTCCAAGAATTTATACATGGATAATAAGGATATCGATATCCTCCCCTTGGATCTGATTTTTATTTGGGGCAAAACCAATCCCTGAGCGGCGAGATGTGGGCAGATCAAATCGACTGTTCCATTGGGCCGTACTTGACTGTGTCTTCGAAACGAATAGCGTTCACGGTGCAGGGACGAAAACTTTTGAAAAAGACTCAATTTCGTGTTGAAAAACAGGTCGTACCCGGGTTCGAACCGGGGTTTCGAGAAGGTGAAGCTCAAAATCTCGTGTGATGACCACTACACTATACAACCGATGCTGATGGCGGAATATGATGAATTTGCTACCGTTCGAAAGGGATTTCAAATCGGCGTCGAAGGCACTCGGTTTCAGGCCGAACGGAGCAGAATTGCGGCCGCAGTGGCGTGATGAAAATAATCACTCTTTTCCGCGAGAGAAGCGTGACATCAATTTTGCAAAGAGCTGTCCAAATATGTTAATGGCATACTTTTAGCCCGTGACCTTGATAACATTTGGCCCATGTACGTAGCCCATTCTGTACCAGTAATCCAGCCCAGGTTTTTGCAGCGCATCTGGCCCTACTTTTCCACACTCAAATTTTGCGCTGAGTTAGCCCGATTTTTTGGGTTCATTTAGTCTGACGTAACCCGACTTTTCTACTTAAACATGATTTCTGCAGCATGGTAATGTTTACATGCATATGAAGAATTCAGGGCCTTCGTTCATGCCATTTAGCTATATTCTGTGGCATTTCCCTGGGTCTTGAAGCTGAATCTCAGCCCCACAACCCACCAAACAGCGCGACAACAGTCCCATCAATTTCACCAAATTCTCAAGATTGTGCTTGTTGTGGATGTACTGCCCAAGTGGGTGACTTTCCGTAAGCTTTTAAAAAATGTTTTTAGACGAAAGTAATGTTTTGCCGAGATGCCGGGCCTCACATCAGGACCCCCGCATCTTAGATCTGCTCGCTTAGCGTCTACAGACGCTGGAATAGATTTAAATCTGAAGGAGGGGTAGGTACCCCCTCTTCAGACTTCCCATCACTTGAATACTGTAGTATTTCGTTCAATTCGGCATGTCACGGTCACACTCGATTTTGGGAAACACCGGCAATACTTTTTTCTCGATTTATCCGATTTTTGGGCGAGTTTTGATGAAATCAAAAAAATCGTGATCCGGCCGAATTGAACGAAATACTACAGTAGACCGTTTTGGGTAGTTTTCATCATTCGCTCGTGTCATGCCGTCTGCCTCACCCTCGGGCCGACTCAAGGCCGACCTCCGGTAGCCTCGTTTTTGCGTGCAAAGCCGGGCGGCTTGGTTCTAAAGCACCGTGGCAACGGCACAATACTCGGGCCTCATTTTCTCACACATCCGAATGTCCGAACGTGTTCGTCAACACCTTGTTGCGTCGCTGTGTTTGGGTGGATAAAATGCAAATATTCTTACGGATAGCATCATCAACAGTAGTTTTTCTTTCTGAAAACAAGTCATACCCGACATCACTGGCACCCCATTTTGTGCTGTAGAATTTTTATATCTTACGGAAAGTCAACCAGTATGACACTTTCCGGGAGTATATAAAGCCACTGGCACTTTATGACCTTGTCTCCAAGGTAAATCCTTATTTCCCTTGATTTTTCTAGAGCTTTACCTTGCATCACTCGGAGCAACAAAAAGTCGGGTTAGATCAGAGGTAAATGAACACAAAAAAGTTGGGCTAACTCAAAGGGGCTAGATGTGGGCTGAATTACCGGTACGGAATGGGCTACATACATGATAAAAAATCTGGCCAAATACTGTACTATTTACGGTTCGACGAAAAAAGAGGCCATTTCTATTCGCCTAAAATCAAAAGAAAAAAAATTGCCCTTTTCGGGGACGAAAAATCACCGAACTTATGTTGTAATCACGCATCGGGCTAGATCAAGGTAGGTTTGGGCTAAGAGTATGGTAAGCTCAGGCCGAAAACAGGTCTTGCAACTGTAAAGGCGAGGTCCCGTTGGCATGGCGCGTTCGACATCAGACTGTTATATCAGGTGTCCCACCTCCCTCCTCATAGCCTGATCTTACGGTCTGACTGCGGGAGGGAACTGCTGTGGTTTGCTTTCGCTCACTCGGCCGATATCTCGCAGTTGTGATCCAGTGATCACAACCTGTTATCTGTTATCTGTTATCACAAGTATAGGGCCCTTGTTGCTGCTTCCAGCCTCTTGGGCCATGGCTTCTACTGTATGTACGTGGCATATGGTGTGTGTTGCTAGCGCTCGACAGTCAAGAGTAGCGCCGTGCTAAATATTATTTTGCTGGTGCTATAGCATGCTAAAAAAAATTCTCCCAGAACTGCATATCTAGCACCTGGTTTAGCACAGTTTAGCATGATTTTAGCAATCACTGATGTCATTTTCGGCCGGCATCTGCCCAAATTCGCTGCTTTCCAGGCCCAAAGGCACTCTTTTGACCTGAATTTTGGCCGATAAGGGTGCATAAGGTGTGCAACAGCTGCTTTATGGTCTGAATATTCCCAAACATGGCACTCTGAAGGCCCTAGAGGGCTGATGATGCTTCCTATCACAGCCAATTTATAGCAATATTTAACAACAACTTTTCGATATGTTATTTTCATGCTAATATAACATGCTAAAAATTGACGTGTTTTTTTCATTTCAGTTCTTAGTCAAGAGCTTAGGTGAGAACTACATGGCGGACTCAGGCCGATCAGTCTTGATTTTGATACGCGACTGTCCCTTCGTCCATGACCTCCTGGGCTGCGCTCCCCTCCTTCCTCATCCCGCTCTTCCTCCTTCTCGTGTCGCTCTTTACATCGGTTTCAGCGCTGCCTGGAACCTGCTCTTCGATGACCCCCGACCAACTGCAGAGCAGTATGTGGTTCGACGATGGCAGGGCCTGCTATCTTGACCGCCCTCTTAGTTCCCGGATGGATGACCTTGCAGCAAGCGGTGGAGGCTGGCTACGGCACGACGACGTACAAGATTGTCACGAATGACCGACAAGTGCGTTTTGGCTCGCGCAAATGCAGCATGGCTCACACATCATCACCCTCGCTGTCTCCAGTTCCCCAACAAGCCCGCTTCAATATGCTCTGGCGTTGCGCAGGGATGGGTCTGGTTCGAGTACCATGCGAGGGTGCAGGGTCACTACAAATGTGCGTGCTAGAACCCTTCCTCTATCATCTCACCTTCCAACTCGTCCCTTACTTGCAGGGAGTTTCAAAATCGAGGACATTCTCCTCAGCGTCGCAGAGCGAACACTTCCTGACGTCGAGCGCATACGATACCCCGCCAAACTGCGGCGAGAGGCGGATTTCACGGATCTATAGCCTCTTTGCGTTAGAGTCTCGACTCTCCAGCTGCAGCCCTGCCCTGCGCTCCTCCCCGATTCATCTACTTATCGCTATCCCTATACGCATGCATACCACGCCGGTCTAATAGAAGAAGAAGAATGACGACGACGGAACGGAGAGAATGGGGCTTCTGAGGGCCCCGGCGTAGAGGTCATATCCTCGACATTGATATGGCACAACTACTCGTCGTTTGAGGCCGCTGTTCCGCGCGTTAGATATATATTCGGCGGTGTCAATTACGAACTGTAGCGTTACATATTTTCGTGCCTATCATGAGCGTACCTCACCTGGGCATCACAAGCATGAGCGACTCCAGGCAGACAGCTTAGCCCGTACGCCGGATCGAGAGATTCGCCTCGTTGAGTGGAGATCGTTTATTGCTTGTGTTCTAGACATCACAACTCTGCCCATCCTCCGTCCATTTCGTCTCCACCGCTAAATAATGCGAGCCCAAACATAATGATACTCGCACCCAGTCTCATTCCGAGCCCGCGGTATAGTTGCCCAATGCCCGTGCTTCGCATCCACCCTTGCTCTTCGACGGTCTGCAGAGCATGCTCATCGCTGCCAGCGCGCTCTTTCCCTTTGCTTGCCCGCCGTTTCCGCTTTGACGGTGTAATCGGAAGGTCGGATCGCTCCTCCGTCAGGATATGCCAGAAAGCGTCCACAACACCGTTATACGGTGCCGGACGCAGTTCCACGCAGCCTTTGATGGGTTTCGCGGTGCCACGGACCTGAACTTGCAGCCGCCGACGGATGGTTTCAAAGGGAAGGGTAATGAGAAGACCGAGACAGCTGGCAGTGAGCTCGGCGACGCCCCAGGCAATGGGATGGGTGTCTTCTGATATCTGAACGCCGATGTAGGACGCCAGGAGCCCGGGGAGGACAAAGGACACGAAGGAGGGGAGGGTGTTGTCAATGATGGTCGGGATGAGCAGCTGTGGGTGAAGATAAATTCCTCTCAGGCCGCCTTCGTCACGAAGAATGCGGGATAGCGCGTCAAGAGGACCGGAATAGGTCAAATGGTGGGAGGAGAATGACTGGACGATTAGCCGCGTCCGTATTAGATCGAGCGGTGACAGGACGAATCCCATGATGAGGTTAGAAAGTATCGGGATGAATAGCGGCGGTCGGTGAAATACAGCCTTGCGAGGAAGAAGAATGGCTTGCAAGAGACTGCGGAGAATGGGTTGAAGAGTGGACGAAAGGACTTCGCTGATGCATGTCGTCAGAAGGCCTTGGTGTGAGGTCAAGTTGGGGCTAGTTAGACAGTATGTTGGGCGTACCTTTCCATAATGCAAGCCAGCCTTCACCGCGAAAGCGACCTATGCGCTTCATCATTCCCCAGACACCATTGGCACTGCCGACCGGAATGATATATTCCGGACGGGACCCTTGCTCTAGCGCAGAACGCCGAGCGACATGGCCCAGGTCGTCTGTTTGTCGGAGGGCCGAGGACCCTGCTTGAGGTGTCGCGTTCGGATCAGCAAAGTAAGAGTCGTTGTCATTCGAGGACTCGCTCAACTGCACCAGGTTAGCAACTTTCAACGTGGTTAAAACAGCCATACAGCGTCGTCCTCGTCGTCTGGAAGTTCCACGGGGTCAGGCTCGCCGGCGTCACGCGGGACCCACTGCACTTGTAGCAAAAGTTTGCCGACCTCCCACGGCATGGCAATGGCACTACTAGTGTACTGGAGAATGGCGGATGCCGCGACCGTCTTGAGTAGATGTATAGCGTCGATTCCATCTGCAGAGTCTACGAGCTCCGGGGAGAGATCAAAGATGGAATTGTGAGGCGGCCGAGAAGACCATTGGTTGGCAGGGCTTGGGGATGGTTGGGCTGTCGAGGAAGATGGCGGTGGCGTAACGAAAGACCAGGCAGCGGTGGGGTCGCTGTAGAGTCCGCGCAGCGAGGCTGAGGACGAC